TTTTGCCTCAGGGTTACATCGAAATGCTTCACCAATCCAGCAGCCTAGCTCAGTTGGTTAGGCATGCAAGTGGCATTCAGGAGGTTGGGGGTTCAAGCCCCATGGCCGCCTGCGGCGCACTTAGTGCCAACGGACTGTGATAGTCCTCTGGATACCCCTGATCGGTATTAGCGGGGTCTATGACCAATACGGGTGTGAGTGTGAGCGCGAGTGGGTTGTGTGTGGTGTGTGGGAGAGTGCTGGCCATAGCCTCTGCTGCTACTCGATGAAGGGTGGGGGACGATGAGAAAGGGAGGCACAGCTACTAGCAGGTCTCGGTCTTTGTGTTAGCCAGACCCCCACTGGCGGCCCCAACCCTATACCCTAACCATTAGGGCCAAGGGGCAGCATGTAATCTCGCCTTCACAGAGAGAGGAAAACTATGCTTGCAGGGGTCCCCTCTAGATAGTCTTAGGAGTAGGTAATGGAAGGTAAAAGAAACAGAAGTTGAGAGAAGAGTGCAGAAAGAAAGAAAAAAAAAAAAAGAAAAAAAAAAAATGCTTCACCAAATTTAAAATAAAAAATAAATTAAAATATATATATATCATCACAAAATATATCGTCACAAAAAAAATATCTATATATATATATTTTTTGGCCCGGCCGGGCAAGTGACCCCGGGGACCTTGTCCCGCTAGCTCCCTTGAGCTAGCTAGGTCAAGGTTGGGCTTTCGACGATGTGTGACTGTACGCCATAATGGAGATGCACGTCGTCCAAGTCATCTAGGGGTCCGTTTTTAATAAAAAAGGCAATACAGACTATCTTTGCTTTTTCTTACAACAAAAAGCAGAAGTAAATCCTTTCTCTCGAATACTACTCCCCCTACCCTCGCCACTTTCGGTTGAGCTAGCTGTCTCCTTTTTCAGAGACGGCTAGCTAGACGACCCTCTTGTTTTCCCAAAGGGCGTTTTTTAAGAGAAACTGTCCAAGCCTCCTTCTGTTTGCCATTTTTTTTGTACCGAGACAGGATTCTGGCAACTCTTCATTTTCATTGTCTGCTGTGGAATGGAAGTGCCCGTATGCCACTACAATTGTGAAAAAAGAAAAAAACAGAACAACTGTATTGGTGACATTTATAAATGCATTTCTCATTTGAAATTGAATTAGAATGAATTTTTTTAGCTGTTGCACCGTTGAGCTGCCTCAACTAAGTCTCCCCTTCACAGTGAGAGGAAACTATGCTTGCAGGGGTCCCCTCTAGATAGCCTTAGGAGTAGGTTCCCGTCAGGTGATGCTCCCCACCAATAGATGGAGCCACCCCGAGAGTGCTAGTGATGCCTGCTCTTACCAGCACCACTAGCATTACCTCCGGTTGTTTCTGTTAAAAAAAAAAAAAAAAAAAAAAAAAAAAGGAGTAGGTACTGAAAGGCAAAAGAACAGAAGTTGAGAGAAGAATATAGAAAGAAAAAAAGGTGCAAGTGGGCCACTCTGGTAGCCTAGCATTTTTAATGATTTTTTAATATTTTTGTATGTATGATTTAGAACAATTACTGCACAAAATTATCCAGAGCAGTACAGTGCCTCCCTCCACCTCTCTCCAATTGCTGGCAAAATGTGCTTTCCTATACCCCCTTGACGAAAGGGACGTCCCATTCGGGGGGTAAGAATGGGGGTGTCTTTCTCGTTCCACGGGTAGGACGCCCGTACCACTTTGGTACATTAAATGACTTCCAGTGGCCACTGCCCAGTCCATTGCCAACATGCCAACGGTCATGTTTTTTAAATATTTTTTAAATATTTTTTAAATATATATATATATTTTTAATGGCTGCAAATTTCATAGGAAGGAGACACACGAGAGGGTGAAACGTTCTGGAAGTTTTCAGAAGCACAAACTGAAGGATGGCACCGTTTTTTTCCTCGATTTTTATGAGTGTCATCTTTGCGCATGGGGCATGCTAAAAATCTTATGTGTTATCTTTCCAATTTTAACAGATGTCCTTGAGGATGGAAGACTCTGATTGGAGCCATCTGGGGCCGCGTCATTAGACACTCCTCGGGGACTCGATTTATTTATGTGTGTCATCTTTGCACACGGGGCATGCTACGTCATCCCGTTTGCAAAGAATTGAGGCCCCTCTTCCGGGATGTGCAGCTCTCCACCAATAGATTGGAACCATCTGGTGGGGTGCTACGCAGATCTTGCTGGTGTTATCACTTTAAACCACCAGTGCTTGGCCCAGCTATCGATGCCGAGCCTGGAATGCCCCTGCGCGCCGATTTTCGCCGAAGCGCCGGGGTACCGTTTCGAAATTGTTTTGGCTGGCGCTTCCAGCCGTTGAGGTCCGGAACCCCGAAGCCCTAAAGGCGCGGCGCGTTAACCTTTTTCTTGGAAGTTTTTCGAGTTGTGGTCATTGCACTGACTGGCCCTAGGTAATTGAAAATTCTGGTATCTTACTCATCTGCTCCCGGTGGAGTTCGAACTCAGCACCTGGTCTGTATTTTAACAGTACAGTCCGGGGGGGGTATACGAATTGAGTATCGAAAGGGCCAAGAAAAACACACACAGCCAAAGAAAACAGGCGCCGAGTTTGAAAAAGCAATGAAAGTACCAACGGCCATGATGTCAGGCCGGGTGTCATAACTACAGGGGTGGCCTGTGGTGTCAAAGGGGGGGGGGGGGAATAAATGAAAAAAAAGAGCCCAACGGATACTTTTCTACCCAAATTGCCGTTTTAAACTCACGCCTTTATATCTTTGCGGGCGCGTGTTTTTCCGCCTTTGCCAAATCAAAACGAAAATAATTGAGGCCCCTCCTGATGAACTGTACAGATGGGCAGTACCAAGGTTGTGTTGGGGTATTTTGCAGTTTGCTTTACTTAAGGTTTTCTCCGTGTTTATCACCGAATAGGCACTCCTCAACGAAAATAATTGAGGCCCCTCTAGATGAACTGTACAGATGGGCTCTTATACACATCTAGATGTGTATAAGAGACAGCTAGATGAACTGTACAGATGGGCAGTACCAAGGTTGTGTTGGGGGATTTTGCAGTTTGCTTTACTTCCAGTTTTCTCCGTGTTACACCCAATAGACACTCCTCATTCTTACTTAAGTTTGAGTAAAATTTAATATGTTATTTTTTCGACTGAAATTAAAAGAAACTCGTCCGTAATCTAAACTTGTTTTTTTTGACTGAGTGATTGATTTGTCATTTGTGCATAATCCCTTTTGGTCCCTTCTGGTCCCTTTCCTGCAGGTCGGACTCTGTTCCCATATCTTCTAGTGACGGTTACTTCGTTCTGAGTCTGTCAATAGGTCACTCCACTGGACTCTTATGTCCATGAACAGCTATTTCGTCAAAATGGACATATTATATTTATTTAATGAAATTGAAACGTCGTTCTTTGGGCAAGAAAGCATAAGTATGAAATTGACGGTTCGACGTCATTTGGGCAAGAAAGCATAAGTATGAAATTGAGAGTTCGACGGTACCCCCTGGGTGTATCAGGACATACACCCCCCCTGCGGGGTGCGGCGTTGTCAGAAAGTTGTACCCTCAATTTCATGCTTTTTCGCCCAAAAAATGGCGTTTCACTTCCGTTCAAAAAATATAATATGTCTGTTTTGACGAAATCGCTGTTCATGCCATTGGCGCCGTCTTTGTCTGGAGTAACCTGGAGAAGAGCAAAGGCCGCACTGCCAGGCTCCATGCCCCTCTCGCGGAGGTTTTTTTTCCTGAGAAAAAGCACCACCTTTCTACTAGGGTGGGTGATGCAAGCATCATCCCCGGCGGCACTACCGTCTTCCCCGAATATAACGGACCCGAAAAAATAAATGTATACAAGCTCTATTTGCAGCCAGACACCGCCAAAATAAGGGTGCGTTGTGTTCGGGGGAAGACGGTAGTTGCTAGGTCACGTGCCCCAATCTATTGGCGGGGCGCAGTGCCTGCTGGAAATCGGGTCCCTTTTTAACAGCACTAGGGTGACTGATGCGAGCATCTTCACCTACGACACGAGCATGGGTGATGGGGGCATCTTCCAATGGACCCCTTAGGCTAGTAGTTATGTCAGGTGCTCCAATCGATTGGTGGGGACAAGCACCGGCTGGAAATCGGGCCCAGCATTCCTTGGGTCCCGTGTCCCGTTTTTCAGAACATTGAACTACTGGGGCCATTACCCGGGTTGGGCTGCGTAATAGAGAAAATTAAAGAGAAGTAACATCAGCGGCTCTGGGTGGAGGTTCTTTTTTTTTTTTTTTTTTTTGGTCTCAGGTATTTTTCTATGTGCTCACACTGTGGTAGAATTGAAAGGGGCAAAACTATGCATGTTGGCCCTCAAGTGATTAAAAAGTGATGTCATCAAAATGGACATTTTTTCTTCTTTGAACGAAATAGAAACTGACTAAATTGCCCCCATTGAGGTCGAAGTTTTTAAGTTTTTGAGGGTACAGGTTTCTTAAACCACCAGTACATTCTCCAACTTGGAAAACAAAGACACGCCAGTTAAGGGCGTCGTTAGACACTCCTCGAGCCGTCCTCGGAGTTCGAGGACGAATCCTCGGAATTTTTTACGTTTTTTTCAGGTGTCGTTCCACCTGTCCTTGGAGAATCGCCCCGAGGACGAATCCTCGGGGCCCTCCCGCGGCCAGTTTCATGATATTATACACGGCCGCGAGGGTGTTGTCCGGCCTTCGATTCGGGATGTCCGTGTTGGAGGCGTGGTGGTCCAGCAGGCGGACGGCGGTACTACGTCACGGGGCGCGAAGAAGAAAATCGACCAACGCGGGAACGGCCCCGTTCGAATTTCGAAATTCGAATTTGCGCCCTGCGGAGCGACGGTGTGGCGGCGCACACGCGGGTCGGCGAGGAGGGGGGGCAGTGCACGTCGCGAAGGGTTTCGGCTGCCATGGCATTGCGCACTTGAGTGGCGCCGCACCGCCACCGTCTCCAGGGTGTTTGACGCCGCGCCGCGCTTCGTATGCTGCCGGCAGTTGCGCTCGTGATGCAGAGGGGCGTGGCGGTTCCGTACTTCAGCGGCGGTGGGCGGACGCTCCAATTGGGGTGGAACATCATTAAGCACGGCTGCATTGCTCACCTGATTGCAGGCGCCTTCAATCGCAGTGGGAGAGGTGCGCACAGGTGGGTGGCCAGGAAGGTTGCATTTCCTGTCCGAAGAGCGGAATGGAGGGCCGCGATCGCAATGGTCGTGCTGTGCTGTCCAGTGCGGAGAAGACAGTTGTCGCGGCAGCTGCTGTCGCAGTTGTCCGTCGATTCCAACTAGAGAGGGCGGCTGGGCGCATGAAAGTGACGCTTTCTAGGAGGCGGCAGAGGCTTCTGCTGCAGAGGGTGTTGGACGCCCCGGACTGCGTTACCAGTTCTGAGGCAGTGCTTCAGCTATGCTTTGCAATAGGGTGCGGTGTGCTTCCTCGGTCGACACCACGTTGGTGGATGAGGCGGAGAACCGGCGGGACTTGGGAGGATTTGCGTCTCTGCGATGACGCGACGGACGACTACTTCCGGGAAAAGCTCCGCATGTCGAGGAGAGTTTTCATGGAGATCAACGAAGCCTGTGCACCTCTCTTGCAACGACAGGTGACGTTGTGCAGGGAGCCACTTCCGCCGGAGCAGATCGTCGCCTATGCGCTGTACAGGTGGGCTATAGGAGAGTCATACGACAACAACACCTCATCTTTCGACATAGGCAGGGCTTCCGGAACTCTGGCCGTGCGTGATGTGACAAACGCTTTGTTCAGGGCATATGGGGACAGGATATCGTGGCCGACGGGGGTGGGGAAACACATCGTGCTGCGGGCGTTTCTGGACAAGGGCTTTCCAAACTGCCATGGCGCAGTTGACTGCACACACATCTACGTGGACAAACCGACGAACGCGCCCAGCGAGAACTACTTCGACCGCAAGCACCGTTTCCGCATCATTGCGCAGGTGGTGGTGGACCTAGATCTGCGCATGCTAGACGTGTTCGTTGGATATCCGGGGAGCTGCCACGATATCAGGGTGATCCAACTGTCGAGTCTGTCGAGGCGCGCAGAAGAGGGAGTGCTTTTTCGTGGCCCGCCTATGACGCTATCGGGGGGGGTGAGGACGAAAGGATACATCTTGGGCGACAACGGGTATCCTCCTTCTGAATGGGTAGTGGTGTCGTACGGAGGAATCAATCAGCTCCCGGACGAGGAAAGGTTCGACACGAAGCAGAAGTTCGCAAGAGGGGCTGTGGAGAGGGCGTTAGGGAGGTTGAAGGGGATGTGGAGGCTCTTCCTGCGGACACACAAGACAAACCTGGAAACACTACCGCAACAAATCACGGCAGTCTGCATTCTCCATAATATCCTCCTCGATGCCGGTGTGGAGTTTGAAGAGAATTTGTTGTGGGAGGTCGACGAGAACGGGGTGAGGCGCCGAGTGGACCTGGGGATTCATCGTCCCCTGCAGCCAGTGTCGATGTTGACATCGACCGGTCCCGCCCTCGCGCTCCGCAATGCGCTGACAGAGCGAATGAAACACATGTGATCATGTGCACCGCCAGCGTCTTTCACGCGCAGAATAATTCCTTCGAGTCGTGTTCTGCCGTCTTCGATTAGTTAGGAGGGTTCGCTGTCTTTCGCTTATGCGCGCGACGAAGCAGATGGTTTTCCGTCGCGTATGGCATCTTTTTCGGTGTTCGTTGTTATGGTCCACCGTAGTGTGCTTGTCCAATTCGTCTACGGTTCCTAGTGACGTGGCTCTGCGGTCGTTCGACGTAATGTCGGCAGTGGTTCGGTTGCGCACTTGAGTGGCGCAGGTGTGCCCCCAAGGCTGTCCCTGAATATCGGGACGAGTTGTGGGGGGGGGTGGGGGGGGGGCGGTGGTTGTCAGCTCCTCGACGAGCTTATGAGTATGAAGTTTACGGCGGTCCTTTGTTTGAAATTGAACGATGTCGTCGAATCCTCTCCTTTTTGTGATTGCTGTGTGATGAGGTCTTCGTGCATTCCGCTTCTTCCTTTCGTTCGGCGACCGACTTCTTTCTCAACTACATTCAAAATGTCTGTCATGTCTGCACTTTTGTGCAATTGCTCAGGGTCATCGGTGATGCATGAATGCGGCAGTGAAGATTCATGTACATTGAGAAACGAAGCATTTCAATTTTGTTCTTTTAGCAATTGCGTGGTGACAGTGCGTGGCTAGGTTCGTTTCTCTCGTCTTGTTTTTTTGTCGTTCCCGTTTTCACAGGTGCCGGCGATGATAACGACGCAGAGATTTCGTACATCCAACGAAGGGCCGCTAACAGAAGCAAGAGATGTGAAGGACACGACGATCGCTATTAACGCATTCCATACATGAGACATCCACACGGAAGACAACAAAACCAACTCTGCGCCACGAATCACGGACATGCGAGTACACACACACACACACAATAAGAGTTCAATGTCCTTCCAAGTACAATATTGACGCGGAATTTGAAAAAAGGAGCCCAACTGTCCACCCTCGAAGCGCACCACATCGACGACTGACTCCACCTGCCTTCTATTTCATTGTTGACGTGTCGTGGACTAGCCTAATAGATAAGGCTTTGGAGCAGATGTACAAATTATGCTCCAATGAAAACCTAATGACAATGGGAAAAAAAAATAACTACAAGGTGGATTGCTGACACAATAAAGCTCCACCTGCCTTGTACTGTTACAGTGCGGTAAAACAACACGTGCACGAAGATGACGACTGTCGACGTCGGGACACCACCGAACTGCGCGCTCCAACCACGACCATTGCCGACAACACTTGTAGGGCGATGGAGGGGTTCTACCCATCCATCATGATGGATTGCTGCACAGGAACGGCGACCGCCCTCCTCGACTTCCCCCTCGGCCCACCATCACCCCCCGCCCACCCCCATCCCGTCGCGGCCTTGCGGATGAACCACATGTCACTTCTCGTCACCGCCATCGTCATCCTCAGGTGGCCCGCTGTCGATCCACCCGTGTTTTGCTGCTTCCAATGCATTCTTGAGGGCCGCGTTGTGACCGAAAACCAACCCGCGATCGACCCATTCCAGGATGGGCCTTCCCCAGACGATCCAAGACGAGGTTGGCGGTGTCAACGATGTGTCGCCGCCAGTTGAAGATGAAGGAGCCCGCCGCTATGAGTGTTGGTTTGGCGACCATGGACGCGTAGAATGATGCCTCGTAGTGCGAACGGTCGTCGTCACCGCCCATCCGCATGACCCACATGCACGCGAACTCAAAGACAATCCGCAAGGCGCGTCAACCTATCCTGTTTCACGCGGCCACCGTCCGCCAATTGCCCGCACCAAACTGCATCTGTCCAGCACTCGGTCAGGCGAAGAACTGTTGCCTCCTGCCGTGCCGCCATGCCGTCTTCTTCGGGCCTATCCACAATCTTCACTCCAGCGAACCACATAGGCACGTCCATCTTCATCGCCAGCGTGTGGTAGACGAGGGCTGGGGAAACGACTTTCGACCATTCTAAAGCCTGCCAGACTGCTCACGCGACGTCTGTTGTGAAGTCCACTGTCACGTACGATTCTGCATGAGCGAAGCCAAACGACCTCGACGACGATTTGAAGATCCAGCCGTGGATGGTGTGCGGCGGCATTAGCAGCATTGAAGGTGGTTCCGCTCCTGCATCTTCGTTAGCGATGGCGACGAAGTAGTCCGTGCAATCACCTACCGCCTCCCTGAATGGCTTCCCCGGTCCCTAAACCCAGAATGCGTCGTAGTCGATCCACAAGTTCGACCTCTCTTCGAGATCATCCTCTTTAGCCCCTCTTTTCACCATTGCTGAAACTGGACGGTCGTCATCATCATCCCCCCCCCCTCTAGCATCCTTCCTCCCATCATCGCGGCGGATGTCGTCGACCCTCCCCTCTTCCGCAGCTTCCGTGACTCTGCTCCCGACGGTGTTATCCGCAGCTTCCGCGACTCTGCTCCCGGCGGTGTTATCCGCCGCCGCCGTCGGACTACGGCACGCTGTCGTGTCAACCTTTTGCGCAGACGGTGTTTTTTCCACCCCTGAAGCCCCCGCCTGTTGCGCGGGGAGTGACTGGCGTGGCTGCCCGTGCCCGACCATTGGCGGAACTTGTCTCAACACGCACGCGTCCGTCATGACAATCCCTCCCGCCTTCGGGGCTCTTGCCAACGTGACGGTGACACCACCAACCAAGCCTTGCTTCAGAGCGGCCAGTTGCTCCCTCGACACCCCGTCCCACCCAAACCCCAATCGCTTTATGACGTCCGGCCCTTGTGCATCCACCATCGACACGTCCTCGGCCTGAAAGTCGGCAGTATGTTCGGAGCTGTCGTCATCAAAGCGCAGCCTTTTCGACTTCGGCACATGCCCTCTGCCTTTTTGGCTTTCCCCACCGTCGCCCGATCCGTTGTTTCTCTTCAACTTCCCTGAAGCGCGGCGCAGTGGCATGTCGTCCACAACTCAACAAAAAAGAAGTGCGTGCTGATTGCAAACAGATGCGACGCTTGGCTGACGTGGACGAAGGACCACGTGGATGACGCGAATGAAGGAGCGGTGGGAGCTCGATGACGGGCACCTTGCCGACGGACGACGTTTATGATGCGGCGCTTCGCTGCTGTGGACGAAGGAGCACTCCGATGACGCGGCGCTTGGCTGACGTGGATGCGGGAGGACGTGGATGCCCGCGGAGCCCGAACCCGCCGATCGTAACGTGGATCTGTCCAGCAGTCCGCCACATGGATGACGTGAATGAAGGAGAGGTGGGAGCTGGATGACGGGCACGTTACCGAAACGACGACGTTGATGATGCGGTGCTTCACTGCTGTGGACGAAGGAGCACTCCGATGACGCGGCGCTTGGCTGACATGGACGCAGGAGGACGTGGATGCCCGCGGAGCCCAAACCCGCCGATCGTAGCGCCGAAGCGGATGACTAGGCGTGCGACGACGAGACCATGCACAAACGGTGCCTTTGGAGCCTTCGTGATTGAATGGCAGCGGTACGGAATGCCACCCGGAATCCCCTTTTGTACGGTGCGCGGTCTCGCAGCACACCATGGACAGGCCTGGCCGTCCAGTACAGCCCGCCCCTTCGTCGATTCACAAGACGAATTTTCTCACGGCCCGAAGTTCATCCTCCTCATGACGAACAAGGCACGAGGGCGCGCAGGAGCTCCCCGAAGGAGGTACATAGACCCCGCCCCCCATCCGTCCTCTCCCACCACCAAAAAGGCCAGGCACTCCAATCCGCCATTTCCCCCTCGCCCCCAAAAAAACACAGCCTGCAGCCTACACATTCGCGGACACCCTCAAAGAAGACCCTGCAAGATCGCCATCCATGCGTGGAGATAACAACTCACCAAAAGCAGTCTGTAAAAATTATCTAAAAACGGGGGACCTACTGTACAACCTCAGGACGCGCCGTGTGGCATGAAAGCAAACAACGCCCTTCACAATCATGAATAAAACCCGCGCTTAATACTATGCGCGAGCAACGATGACTCGCCGACTGTACACAACCTACACATCAGCGTACTGCAGCGCGGAGGACGACGGAAACGACGACGTGCCGGAAGTGCACACGGGCCATGTCTTCGGACGTTCGACATGCCTGGTTGGCCAACATCAGGCTCGTTCGTGGATCGCTTTAGCAATCTCCATGAGGGCGTTGCACATCAAGAAGTTCGCCTGGTCAGCCTTCTCGTAGTGCTCCTTCTGCACTTGTATCTCTCTCTCCAAAATGTCGCATTGCCTCGTGAGAATTGAGCACTGCCTCTTGCTCGCGGTGTCCACCGTCGTCTAAATCAGCGACCCGTGCTCCTTCATGACGTTTGCCATCGCCTCGAAGATCTGATGTCTGGCATTCTTTCGTTTGCCGGCCCCGCCACCACCACCGCCAGACAACGACGAATGCCTCGTCGATCCGTGATCGTCGTCCTGACCATCCCCCCCTCCGTCACTACCGCCGGATACGTTTCGCCTGCCAAGCGGGGCAGGCATTTGAACACCTCCCGGCACACCCGTGTCCACGAGATTCGTGGGGTGTTTAGTGTGATCAGCCCTCGACATCGCCTTCTTCTCCGAATACACGCGCTCATCCATCCTAAAGTTGAACCCCCTCTCCCTCCTCTCCCCCGACGTTAGTGTGAAGAAGTTAGGCTTTCCGGATTCTCCCATCAACTTGTGCACGGATTTGAACTGCTGGTACAGGTTGTCCCATTTCTTTCCGCAGTCGACGGTCTTCCTACTCGTCACCCCCATCTGCACGAGCCTCTTCTCCACGTCGTCCCACTTCCATGTCTTCGTCTTCATCCGTCCGTAGTTGTGCCCCAGGCCGGCCAGATGCAAATCCTGGTCTCTTTTGGCTCTGATAAGAGCGATCATATGCTCCACTGTCCAAAAATCCCTGCTTTTTGTTCCGTCGCCTACCGACGATTCTTCGGCGCATTTCTTGCCTTGCCGCCCTGTGCGCGATTCTCTAACCTTGGTTGTCGCCCTCGACCCTCCGCGCTTCCTCCCTACTGGACGAATCTCCATCTCGCCATCGTCGTCTTCGTCGTTGTCATCACTGCCGTCGTCTGAAGCGATCTCCTCGCCCCCTCCACCATAGCAGTCCACAAATACGTCTTCGGGCCCTACACTCATTCTCGCCACCCCTCTTGTTATGCTGGACGTGTTCGCGGAACGCAATCGTTGCCGTTCATCATCCCAAAACTGACGGTCGACGACCTCTATAGCGGCGCGCTCGTCGTCATCCCCTTCTCCGTCCATTGTACCACTTGGCGGCATCGTTCGGCAGCCTGCCAATCCAGTTGTCTTCGTCCTCGACGCAACCACACTTGCTGTACTCAAAGCCACCCGCCTCGCCGAAACGAATCCACGGCTATCCGCAGGGCCAGCCACCCTCACGGAAGGCGATGTGTGTTTGGTGGGAGAAGTCGGGTTCACGCCAACGGTGTGCGTCAGGTCCTCGCCACTCCCAGACCTCAGACCGAAGCTCAGATCGACGAGTCCAGCGTCGTAACCAGCGGGGGTCCGTCCGTCCAGCAAATCAGTGTACGTCGGCGTCGATGCATGTCTGTACAGCTGGCTCCCCATCCAATCCTGCGTCGAACCGCTGCCCAGAGGAACTGTTGAGGATCTGGGGTCGTCGACGTCGTCGTCACTCAGAGGCAATGGAATCTCGTGGGACGGCAGGTGCCTGTACAGCATCGGGTCGTACAGCCGCTTGCCGCCTTCCGCACTGTCACAACGCTGACGGGAGGACCCCCCACCTTCCACCGACATTGTCGTCTTCGTCTGAAGCTTATCCATCTTCCTCGACTTCTTCGGCGTTCAACGCATCTGTTTCCTTCGAGGAACGCGGCCGAGGAAACAAATGTGGAAGACGACAACGATGAGCAGCAGCAGAGCGACGAGTAGCAGCAAAGGTAGCCTGCGGTACAGGTCTGCCATCAATGATAGGTTAGTCGACACAGAAGCGTTGTCGCATTCGCGGCGAGCAGAGACACACTGTGCGAGAGGGAAGACGCCAACGAACCAGCTGTCTTCGTGCAAGCAGCGACAGGGGGAGGACGCTTACAAAATCCATAATTGCGACCGTTGGGAAGCCCGCGGGAACGCCACGAAGCCTCCAGGCGCCGACCGAAGACGTCCGATGATCGCCATGGCCCCTCCGTGGGGCCGCCCGAAGGACCTACAGGGCCGTCCTGCGATTCAGCGCCAATGGTAAAACGAGGAGGCCGTTGCTGGAGGTTTTCGACGACGATGACCGGGGATGTCCGTCTTCAGGCCGCTGGACCACCACTGGGCCACCTTCGGCCTCCAATTTCCGTTCTGGAGTAGCCCCCGACACCCCATTAATCGCGGATCCTCGAGCTCCGAAGGACCTCGCGAGGTCCTTTGAGTTCGAGGACGATTTGGCTGGGAAATCCTCGGAGCCTGAGGATTTGTCCTCGGAGTGTTTTCACATTTTCATTTCCGATTTCAACTCCGAGGACAAGTGGAACGACGACGGAATCCTTGGAATCGCGTCCCCGAGGAGTGTCTAACGACGCCCTAACACGGGGTGTCGATGCAGGGGATGCAGGGGAAGACCAACCCCAGCGTACCACCAACTGTGAAGATGGATAAAAAAGTAAAACAGAAAAAAAAAACAAGACAAGGAAAAAAAAAAAAACAAAGCGGGAAGGGAACAGGGGAACGGCGCGCGCGCAAGGGAGAGAGAGCGATATATATATATATATATATATATATAT